CCGGGTTGGGGGGATAAGCTGGTGGTGGTTGCCCTTTTACCCATGCTTGATACATTTCAGCCATCTGTTACTTAAAATTATACACTTCTTCTTTCATTGCGTTGACATCCAACTCTTCCACCTCTCTCGAGGGATCAATGATACTCGCATCAGGCTCTTGATTGGCCATAGTCAGCTTGTTTTTGGAGCGAGTGTTGTAGGGGTAGGTTGCTAGAATGCTGCAAAACTATCCACCTGTCTATATTGGATAAACAACATCGAAACTTGTTAGTGGTTAGGCTTTAACATATAGGCAACCACCTATTCGTTGATGAATGCACCTAAGCAGTTATCGGTTTCTATTATGCACTGGATCAGCTGCTTGCATCATCCCGGCTTTTATCCTATGCCACTTTTTTTTCTTTTCTCTCTTGTTTTCTTCTTCTTTTCTTTTATTCGGCTTGTTTTTCCTGCTTTCTCTTTGTTTTATTACTCTTTCCCGTATTTTGTCATTATTTCTCTCGCACAGTTTCTTATTTTTCCGTTCTTTTTCCTTATTTTTGTTATGGTCGAATCCTATGGAGATTGCCTACGAATCATGACCCCACAAGAATCAGACCGAGTGTAGTTCTGGAATATAAGTACCAAAACAAAATATTTTGTAAATTTCAATTTTCATAAAGTAAAACATTTTTTATTACAACTACCGAAGTAACGGACCCGAGAAAATATACTGACAGACTCCGACTTAAAATAAAATACAGACTCTAGTGACAATCACGAATACATTAATGCCTCTAAAGCTCTTAGGGTCTACAGGACATCATTCGGTCTCGATGCAGGCCTGTGTGCTAAATCCCTTTGGAGGGGGTGAAGGTCTTCCATCACTTGATGAATGAAGATTATTGCGGTGGAAAAAACGTGGATCTCGTCATATCTTCACAGTTGCTACACTTTACTGTGATGTAATTATCGATCCTTAGGACCTTCTCTGTTATTACACCCTTTTCTTGTAACAATCTCCCGATCTGCTGGGCCCTAGCTTCTAAGGCTTGTTCGGCTACCCGATTTAGTTCTTGAAACTGATGCAAATCTCTTTCTAGTTGTGCTATTGATGTGTAACAGTGCTCTGTTTCTGCCTTGAAGTCCTTTGCCTGTTTGACCATTTTGTTTTCAATAATGATGACCCTTTTCCTCAATCCTGCAACCTCATCGTCATACATTTCTTTCAACCGTTCAATTATACGTGCTCGTTCTTCTGTTGGCCAATTGCTTTCGGGCCCTGGCTAGCTCACCCTCTGCTTTGTTTAAGTCAAAACCATATTCTCCTACTTTCCGCCTTAGGTTGTCTATGAGCTTCTCATCCTTCGCACTTCTGGTAGGATTCTCTGCGGCTATTTTCATTTTCTAAATCTGGGCTCGCAAGGCTTCATTTTCTTTGGCTAGTCTTTTCTTTTCTCCCTCATCTGCTGCAGCTTGCAAACCATTCTAAAATTAAGGTCTTTGACTTGTTTTTCCAACTTTCCTATTATGGTCTGGTATTTATTTTCCTTGGCTAACCAATCCTACTATTCTTGTGACGCCTTAGCAAATTCCTTAAGGTGTGGTCTTTTGGCCGACCATCCAAACTCCACTTCCCTTTTATACCAAGCAAGGTACTCTGGTGCAACTTCATCTTTAGGCAAGTCACATACTCGAGTGTTCACTGTCAAGTACTGATATTCGCTCCAAATTTGGCGGACTGCTGCTTCATGAAACTGGCCATTGGGACCAATCTGTAGCACTTGGTGACTAAGGTTTTCATCCCTGGGAACCATTTGGCATCTCCCTAACTATCTCGACACCCAGTATAGGGCATAAGGTTGGATGTTCCTTAGACCTATCAAAAGGAAATGAGACCCGGTAGCTGGCATGTATATAATTTCATCGACAGGGAGCCACCCAAATGTCCACTCTATTTGACTTGCACTTATGGCACGGAGATATGATACCCATTCTATGACCCCCTCTGGTAACCTAAACCCATTAACTCTGGTATAGAATTCCTCTATGCAGTTCTTTTCTAATTATCCATAACTCATGAATTGAGGACGATGGCACAGGTGTTCAATCATCCACATCTATAACAACAAGTTGCATCCATCAAAGAAGTCTCCTCTGGCTTTACATGCTATGAGGGCACGGAAGATTTTAGATAATATCATGGGTGCGAGAGTACTCTTAGCCTGAGTAAGCAAAGTGCTGACAACCCCTGCTATCCATATATCAATATTTCTATCTTTTCGTGGAAACACCAAGAGGCCCAAGAAGAATACCATAAATGCAAAACATATGTGTTCTTCCCATTTGAGTTGGTTTTCTTTACCACAGATTTTATTTTTCGGGTCTTTAACCGGTGAACCCTTTGCTTATCTTTAGTGAATCTAAGAATTTGTATATATCGACGGCCCTTGGGCAATCAAGTACCGGTGTCTCAGAGATATTTTGGGGCCCTCGATATATTCGGCTATTTCTTCCAAAGTTGGGGTGAGTTCAAAGTCTAAGAAATAAAATACATTGTGGGCCGGGTCCCAGAATGTAACCATCGCCTTTATGATGGCCCCCTAGGATTAATTTTCAACAACCCAGTGAGACCTCCCAAGTATGAATTGACCTTGTCTTGCCCTGATTCATCGAGATCATTCCACCACATATGCAGCTCCAAAGGGATTTTGTTCATGACTGTTATTGAAAAATTTTGATTCGTGCTCATTCTGCAATTTATTAGGGTGATTAGGAAAAAATCATGATTTATTTGACTCAAAACAAAACAAAGCTGATATTTTTTCAGATTTTTCATTTCAATAGTACGAGTCCAGCTTTGCAAATATGGCCCTTTAGCACTTCCAGGGGAAGATTTTAAGGATGTGCTTGCTACCGACCAAAATTTGGAAAAAGGATCCAAAGGCGGTTGTTCTTGGAAAAGCAGCCTTTCGGCGTCCTTTTGGGGACATTCGGCTAATTTTGAGAAGAATTACCTAATTTAATTATCACAAACAAAACTTAGTTCTTTTGAGGCTATTTTTTTAAAAATGAGTTGGGCTTGATGGGGGTTGCCTACGTATCTCATGCCCTGTAAGAATCAAACCGGCGTAGTTCGGGAAATTTTGACAAAATTGAAAACCAATTTTCTTTTTTGAAAACAATAACAAAAATCTTTCTCTTTATGTTTTCAAAATTTGGTAGAATTTTAGTATTGATTTGGGACATCGATTTTTCAAAATAGGTAATTACGTCCGTTATCCCTCGCACTGTTATTTTCTTTGCCAAATTCTCCTCTTCTTTTTCAAAAGCCGATCGACATGCGAATTTGGAATAAATGCACAAGTAGCACGCACGATGCATCAGGATGGTCTGTTATTTTGGGTACACTTATCCTAGGCGGAACCAACCCCTGTGTTGAGTCCCCTAACCCAAATGCATGATGAAAATAAGCCTTCCTACTAGGGATCCGGCATGAGGTTATGATATTCTAGGTTCAAAACCTGGGTATATATTCTAGACTGTGTACCAGAGCAGACAACTCGAGTCGAGGAGAGAGAGCTATGTACCGGGATCCAAAAGGCTATCCGACTTAGTAAATTGTCCGAGCCTCTTTCTTATTCCAAGGTATTACACTAACAGAATCGGGAGTCTCGACCAGCGAGCACACCCCCGAAGATGAGAAGATAAGGGTTTCGCAGCAATTTATATACAGTTCAAACAATATCAAAGCGGAAAAAGCAACACTTAGCACATTGGGCTCAAACATGTAATAAAACTAGATAAATAAAGCCAAATAAAACAATTATTTTAAGCAAGAATTCTTGAACCCTGAATTGGAGATTCTGGGTTCGATCCCCAGTAGAGTCGCCAGAGCTGTTACACCTCTTTTTTTAACCACACCCCGCGAAGGGTGTAAATAAGGGAGTTTTTCCAAATAAAGGACAATCGAAATGGAACTATATTATTACGAGATTCAGAGTTGCCACTTGGGAGATTTATGGTGTCCTAAGTCACCGGTTAAAATCTCGAATCGAGGAGAGGGTTGACTCTGTATTACAGTCCGCGAACCAGAAATCCCGGTAAGGAATTATGTTAACCTGGGAGAAGGTATTAGGCATTCCGAGTTGTGTGGTTCTAGCACGGACTCTCAACTGTTATATTTGGCTTAATTATCTGATTTTAAAATATTTTGAACATATGTGATATTTTAACCTTTAACCTCTTTTAGTCATTTTTAGGAATATTGCGATGTTTTTAATACGTCTCGAACCACGTCACATAAATGCACATGCAGTCTTTGATATATTCTAACATTGTTGAGAAATGGATTTGGGTCACATAAATGCGCACCCGAATTTAGAAAGGTAATGTTATTAATTGGCGTGCCTAAAGCTACTACGCGTTAGCAGCTTTGCGAAGGCCATGGAAATTTGCTAAATATCACGCCTCGAATTCTAAGGATCAATACACTATTAATTAAATGAAGAGGATGCAATTGGAATTTTATTTGGCAAGGCGCCCCTCAATTCCATTTTAAAGGTTATTCAAACTAAAATTCGGAGGACCGTAACTATGATTATTTTATCTAATACGGCTGACCTCCAATCTAATTAATGGACTTAGATTTTCTAAACATTAATAGGTAAAGGCTTTACTATAGTTCAAGTTAACAAAAAAAAATTTAGAAAAGAGAGGCTGATGTTTCCAAATTAATGCTTGAGCCTAACATGAGGCCCAATAGCCTACCAAAGCGAGGTTGCTCCAGGTGAAAATTAGCACTAAACCACGCTGGGCCCCAAAAGAGGATCCACAATGAAAAGGACCTAGCTTCAGCAAGACAGTGAGGTCCCCAGCTCGAGTCCGTATAAAGCACGAGTTGTCACATTTTGCATTCGAACTTGCATATCAAATTATTTTTTTAAACAAACCCAACAATTAACAATTGAAAATCAACAATTGAACCATTCAGGATACTAAACACTATTGCTCAAATCATAAGTCAGAATTAACTAATTTATCACTGTATAAAAGCTAAATAATGGCATGTGGCTTTACGTACATTAATTTCCACATTGAAACTCATCACCAAATTGCCAAACTTAAAAGGAAAGTGGAAGCTGACAATCAAAACCATTACTAATCTTACAATTCAAAACAAACTATAGTCAAAACCTATAAATTAATCAGTTTCCACACACCATATGTATTAGTCGTGCAACGTTTTCCAATAGTTGACACTAAATGTATTGAACACTCACAACTATATACCTAATTACTAGGCGAACAAAGACTCATGCAGCTCATTAGATAATGTCGGGTTCCACGTCAATAATATGCTTTATTGAATACAAAACTAGATACATTTCCAATTAAAACTGCTATTCAATTAACTGTTGGATTTTGAGAATTCCCACAAAATAACTCCGTCGAACAACTTAAAATCATTACATCTACCTACCAATGGTAGATTCTAGATTTAAACTACTACTTCAACTAACAATAGTGTTCATTACATTTCCACTGTAACAGTCTTGAAACATGAATACTGGTAAAGGAGTATAGTCAAGCTAGAAGCAAACTAATAAACCACAAATGCAATCAAAAACCTTTATATACATAGCATAATCAAAACTGAATGAAAAATAGCTAAAGTCATATGATTAATTTCGACACACATGAACAGATCTCAAGGAACTAGGACCAAATATCTCATTATTAATCATTGAGCTACCCCTTTACATATCACATGCTTTCAAGTGTTGAAACATACCTGGAGAATGAAAAGAAAGGAGTAAGAAGAATGAGATCAACATCCAAGCAGTAGCAAGAACAAGAGTCAGCAGCAATGACAACTCAGAAAGACCAAATTTAAACCAGAAGTGATTCAAAATCGACCAAAACTTGCTCGAAAACTCTAAACAATCTCTTAAGACCTCCAAACTCGAATTATTTCATCCAAAATAGATCAAAAGTTACTTCAAGAATTAGAAATTGAAGGAACAACGGGAAGGATTCAATCAAACGCTAACCAAAACCAGCAGTTTATATTTTGGATCTTTTTCTGAAATTCTCCTCTCTAATCTTTGCAAGGCGAGTTTTAGAATGCCTTTTTAGGCAAGCTATTAGGGCACAACTTCAGATTTTAATTTTATCTACTAGTCCTTTTTTAATTACACTTTTTGTTACTTAGTCCCTGATTTTGTGACTTGTTAGCCAAGTCATAGCATAAAAATTTAAAGCCAACCCCTGCTAGAAGCTTCTAGGAGTTTCTTATGTGGTTATTTAAAGATTCCTTAAGTACATTACCCCAATTACCCCTCAATTATCATGTTTTTATTTCTAAAGCCTACCAAAAATGGGTTCTTGGTCAATGATCCAACGGTTGAGTCCATTTAAACCCTCAGCCCAAACTTAAACTTTAAAGGTATGAACCTCAAACCCAAGAACAATCAAACCATATTTCTAAATTAAAAATAAGATGAGAACATAAGCAGTTCAAGCAAAATTATTTTCAGAAAATCCCATTGAGGCAACTAACCATTAATGAAATTGAAATTAAATTTCTAAAATACTGTTTATACTAATCAAAGAAAAAGAAAACTTCCTAAAACTGAGATGCATGTACAAGATGACTTTGCACTTCTTAAAAATTCAAAAGAAAAGGGAACAGCAGATGACAAGTGAAACGTAAGTATGACAGAAGAAATGAAGAACAATTAATAAAAGAGAAAAAGAGAAAGAAATACCTAAAGAGACTTAGGTCTGTCTTGAACAAACGTTAAAAACAAATCCTTTGATTTTCGAACGGAGTAGACCTTAATCTTCTATTTTTATGTGAAAACACACAATTAAGGTCCAGTACGGTCTAAAATCTTCACCAGCCAGCTGACTTTTGAGTTAGAGGAATGAGGGCTTCACCCTTTGATTCGATATTTGAAGATCTTCAATGGTATTTGAATGAATCTAAGTGAGGATTCGTAATGAGGGGGAGAAGGAGGTGCTAGGATGTGAATTTGGGGCTGAACAGAGGCGACGCCGCCATTGGAAAAATTGTGGCAGCACTAGGATTCCTGATTTCAAATCAATATTCGAAGGATTTGGGCAAGTTTTGAGGGAAACTAGTTGTGGATTCGAGATGAGGAGGTTAAGGTGGGCTTCTGCTGTAAGTTTGGTGTAGGTTGGACGTCGACCGCCCCGTAGGTGATTTTCGGTTGTGGCAGACGGCGGCGATGGAGGGGTCTTCTGGTGAGGTGAGGGACATGAGAGACGGGGTGGGGGCGTTTGGACATTTTTATATTAAAGATAACTCACTTTTCGACCGTTGGATTATGTATCCTAGACGGCTAGGATCAGTTCTAGGTTGAACGGTGTCATTTGGGGTGAGCGGAGGCTTAGACCGGGTTGGACACGGGTCTGGGCTGGGATTTGGGCGATTTTGAACGGGTTTACGGTTTTGAGCTTTGCAATTTTTATTGTTTTTGGCCCAAATATAAAACCTGATCCCTTTTTTCAAAATCTTTTCCTTTTTCCCCTTTTTTATTTTCAAAAATTAAATAAAAATCTAAATTAAATCCTAGGGCCTAATTTAACTAAACAGTTGCTAATTAAACCTAAATGACAATTATCACAATTAGCTACTCAAAATAAAAGTTAAAATCAAAAGCGCAAAATAAACTATTTTTTGTGATTTTCCTTTTGAAAAAATAATTTAATTACTAATTACATCTTAAAATACAAAATTAACTCTTAAATGCACATGCAACACATTTTTTGTATTTTTTATTAATTAAAATAAAATAAACATGCACGGAAAAATGCAAAAAATTAACAGAAAATACTATAAAAATTCATAAAATTGCAAATGATGAAAAACAATTATTTTGTTTTCATGTTATGGGAGTAATTCATATAGGAAAAAAATCATGTGCTCGCATATACTCGTCACCATTCCTATACGTCGTACTAGAAAATTACCACATAGCAAATTAGACCAAACACTTACCTCAAGCTTCCTCGGTCAATTCAATCCTCAATAACCGCATTGCCTCTCAAATTCGGCTCAAAATCAATTATATTTATACAATAATGACTTCAATAATCAATAAATGCTAAATAATGCGAACCCAATGCCTAATTATAGCTTTTTCATCATTCTTCCCAAAATTCAAAAAATCGACCCCAGGCCCGCTTGCTCAAAACACGAGGCTCGGACCAAAATAAAATCAGACATTCACCCATGAGCTCGAATATATAATTTATTTTTAAATTCGACCCAAAAATGAGGTCTAAACCAAGAAAAATTAAAAATCCCTAACTCTACTCGATTCTCAAATTTCTACTCTTAATCACATACTTTAGGCCTAGAATTTCAATAGATGTTGATGAAAAATGAAGAAAACGAGTTTAAGATTACTCACCCACGAGGTTTTGGTGAATGATTGCTTCAATGGTCGCCTAAGAGCTTGGAGAAGAAAGGTTGTTGTGAAGACTTGGTGACATCCCGCAGCTACTGTTTTTGAAGTTTAAAAAAATAACTTGCCAGAAAAATATCCTATGCGATCGCGGAGAAGCTCATGCGATCACATAGGGATAGGAAGGTTGTCCATCGTAATCAAGGACAGTGTATTGCGAACGCGTAGAAGAAAAGACTTTGCATTTTTCAGGTTTGGTTTAATGAATTGCGGTCGCGGAAGATGTATGTGATCGCATTGAATGAATTGTGGCTAAGTTACGCGATCGCGGATGACTCTATGTAATCGCATAGAACAAAATTGGGCACTTGGAAGCTTACATTATGCAATCGCTATGATGCCTATGCGATCGCATACAACAAAATATCAGACACCAGAACTGCTACTTTCTGCAACTATTTCTAAGTCTAAACCATCCCGAAACACCTCCGACACACACCCGAGCCCTCGAGACTCCTAACTAAATACATGTACTAACTCAACAACATCACACGAACTTAACCGTGCGATAAAATTCAAAATTTAGAATTTCGAGCCCGAAACAAGTCAAATGACATCCAATTTCAACCAATCTTCACAGAAATATCTTAATTCACATATAAGACTTGTACCGGATGCCGAAACCAAGATACATGCCTGATACCAACACATTCCAATCAAATATCATTTCAATTTTTCCTTAACAATTTCAGAAAAATAATTTCTTTTAAAAATTCATTTCTTGGGCTTAGGACCTCGGAATTCGATTTCGGGCATACGTCTGAGTCCCATGTTTTTCTACGGACCCTCCGGGACCATCAAATCGTGAGTCCGAATCCGTTTACCTAAAAAGTTAACCAAAGTTAAATTTATTCATTTTAATATCAAAACATGTTATTTTTCACAGAATTTCATATTTAAGCTTTCTGGCTAGGCGTTTGGACTATACACATAAATCGAAGCGACTCTAAATGAGGTTTTCAAGATCTCGAAAGTACAGAATTATTTAAAATAAGAGATGACCCCTTCGGATTGTCGCAATGCGGAAGTTACGCAAAAAAGTAGGTACTCTTATAATTTTTTTGCAAAGCGGGCACAAGTTAAAACGTGACCCAAAAAGCAGGAATAGATGCAAATGCCCCAAGTAAATCTCAGACCAAACTGGACCAGTTGTAAGTTGGAATAAGAGAAGTAAAAATTACGCGACACATCAAATATATACACTGTATTTACCTAATTTTAGAAAATTACTATTTGTAACTATATTTAAATATTATGGCAATCCACATGTAGTATTGAAATAAGAGATCAATTATTTTGAACTGAAACAAGTGAGAAACAAGCTCACGTAGATCAGTTGGTTAGAGGGTTAAATTTTACAAATGATCATATAACTATGAATTTTTTTAACCAAAGACCTATAACTTTATTTTCTCAACAAAAATCATAAAACTTTCACTAACTCACATAAAATTATAGTGTCCATAAAATACAATTTTACCATCGCTTTTTCTTATTTCAATGTTTTTTATTTTTTATTTTTAGTCTAATAATAATAACTCAACTAAATAGGAGAAATACATATTTTCAATAATATATATATATATATA